TCTCGATGTCCTACACATTAACTCAATAATCCTGACAACCACCCCAATGCATTAGGTAGTATTAGCAAAATGGTTAGGAGAAAAGATTCTGGAGTCAAACTGCCTGCATTCCAATATTGACTTCACAGTTCACTAGCTGGGTGTCCTTAGGCTAGTTACTTTTCCTCTCCGACTCAATGAGAGTCCTCTGAAAGCTCAGGATAATATTACTGCCTATCTCCTGGGGTTACTGTGAGGCTCATGGGTCAAATATTCTTAGCATAATGCCTGCCACAAAGTAAGCACTCATTAAGTAATGTTGTTGTTGTATAGGCAATGGTAATTATCTTGCACAAGATCAAACACCAGGAAGAAGGTAGAAATCCTGGTCTTCTGACTCCAAATTCCAGGCTTTTTCTATGACCATGTGTTACTCTACCGAATGTTTATTTTTCCTTAAACGATTAAAATACCATAGTACAGTTTGTGCTGTTCTAAGAACACTGAAGTATTCTTGCTAATTATACATAACTGCAAAGAAAAGATCACTGTTAGCAGAATATAATGCTGTTTCACTTTGCACTGGCTTGAGAAAAAGTCCCCACAGAACAGACCATTTCTGAGATTCCCAAGAGCTATACTTTCCAGGATATACTTCTTTGATATCAAAACCAGTGTCGCACCTGCCAACGGAAACGACTGTCATTTTGACTAGTCTAGAGGCCATGTTACCTTTTCTCTTTTGTGCTAAGTGGTGACAGCAACTGTTTATCTCCTTTTTAAAGTTGTTCTCTAATATTTTGTTTCAAATTCCTCCAAACAAAACAATTTGCAGCTGCAACTCATGATAGCTTTCTGGTTCACTGCCTACTTGGGCATAAATAACCAGTACACTGGCTCCCACTTTAACTACCACTAGGCCTGGCACAGTTCCAGGCTCTTTGGGTACTGAACCTTGTGGAGTCCATAAAGTTAATTTTCCACACAAACTTGATTTAACCTGGTATGAACTTCAGACGATGCAGCTCTGGGGAAATTCACACTGACATTCTCACTTCATTTCAAAATATTTTTTCTAATTGTCAAAAAGAAACATTCATGAACATAGACCATATTCTTTCTGGGTCATAAAACAAAATAAAACATTTCAAAGAATTTAAGTCATATAAAGTGAGTTCTCTGAAAATAATGGAATTAAACTGAAATCAATAACAGAAAGATATCTTTAAAAATCCCCAAATAGTTAGAAATTAATACACTACAAAAATAACCCATGAGTCAAAAAGGAAGTCACAAGGAAAATATTTTTGGGCCAGGCATGGTGGCTCAGGTCTGTAATCCCAGCACTTTGGGAGGCCAAGGCAGGAGGATCATTCGAGGTCAGGAGTTCGAGACCAGCCTGGCCAACATGATGAAGCCGTGTCCGTACTAAAAATACAAAAATTAGCTGGGTGTGGTGGTGCGTGCCTGTAGTTCCAGCTACTTGGGAGGATGAGGTAGGAGAATAGCTTGAACTCAGGAGGCGGAGGTTGCAGTGAGCTGAGATCATGCTATTGCACTCTAGCCTGGGTGACAGAGTGAGACTCCATTTCAAAAAAAAAAAAAGAAAGAAAATATTTTGAACTGAATGAAAATGATAATATAACATATCAAGATTTCTGTGATGTATTTAAAGTGGTGCTTACAGGAAAAAATATGGCATTAAAGGCTTATATTAGAAGGTGGGGTGCAGTGGCTCATGCCTGTAATCCCAGCACTTTGGGAGGCTGAGGCAGGCAGATTACCTGAGCTCAGTAGTTGGAGACCAGCCTAGGCAATATGGTGAAACCCTGTCTCTACAAAAAATGCAAAAATTAGCCAGGCGTGGTGGCACACCTACTTGGGAGTGTGAGGCAAGAGGATCGCCTGAGCCTGGGAGGCAGTGGTTGCAGTGAGCCGAGATTGCACCACTGAACTCCAGCCTGGGTAGCAGAGCAAGACTGTCTTAAAAAATAAAATAAAAAAAGCTTACATTAGAAAAGGAAATAGGTCAGTCATGGTGGTTCATGCCTATAATCTCAGCACTCTGGGAGGCCGAAATGGAAAGATTGCTTGAGGCAGGAATTTGAGACCAGCCTGGGCAACATAGAGATACCCCCATCTCTACAAAAAAGTAAAAAAATTAGCTAAGTGGGGCGGTGCGAGCCTGTAGTTCTAGCTACAGGAGAGCCTGAACCCAAGAGTTTAAGGTTGCTGTGATTAGGCCACTGCACTCCAGCCTGGGCAACAGAGTAAGACCTCTATACACACACACACACACACACACACACACACACACACACGAAGATCTAAAATTAATGTTTTAAGCTTACATCTTAAAAACAAACAAACAAACAAAAAAACAAAAAACCTAGAAAAAGTATCTAGGCCAGGTGCAGTGGCTCACACCTGTAATCCTGACACTTTGGGAGGCCGAGGTGGGTGGATCACCTGAGGTCAGGAGTTTGAGACCAGCCTGGCCAGCATGGCGAAACCCCTTCTCTACTAAAAAATACAAAAATTAGCCAGGTGTGGTGGTGCACACCTGTAATCCCAGCTACCCGAGAGGCTAGGGCAGGAGAATTGCTGGAACCCTGGAGGCGGAGGCTGCAGTAAGCCGAGATCTCAGCACTGCACTCTAGCCTGGGCAATAGAACGAGACTCCATCTTAAAAAAAAAAAAAAAAGAAAAGAAAAGAAAAGCTAAAACCAAGCAAGCAAAGGAAGAAAAGAATAAAGAGATGAAATTAATAAAATTGAAAAACAGATAAACAATAGAGGAAATCAATTAAATCGAAAGCTGGTGTTTCCTTAAAAGATCAATAAAATTGATAGGCCTTAAAGGTGACAAAATTTACCAATATCGAGAATAAAATCTAGAACACTACTATAGATCTTACAGACATTAAAATAGTAATAATGTAATATTATTATATTGAACAACTTAATGCCTATAAATTTAATTATTTAGGTGAAACAGACACCTTGAAAGACACAAACTACCAAAGCTTTCTCAAGGAGAAGTAGACATCCTGAATATTTTATTTTAAAAATAGAATTTGTAATTAAAACAATTTCAACAAAGAAAACTCTAGACCTAAGTGACTTTACTGGCAAATTCCTCCAAATGCCAGGCACAGTGGCTCACACCTATAATCCCAGCACTTTGGGAGGCCAAGGCGGGCAGATCATCTGAGGTCAGGAGTTCAAGACCAGCCTGGCCAACGTGGTGAAACCTCATCTCTACAAAAAATACAAAAAAAAAAAAAAAAAAAAAAATAGCCGAGAGTGATGGCACATGCCTGTAATCCCAGCTACCTGGGTGGCCAAGGCAGGAGAATTGATTGAACCCAGGAGGCGGAGGCTGCAGTGAGCCAAGATCGCAACACTGCACTCCAGCCTGGATGAAAGAGCAAGACTCTGTCTCAAAAAAAAAAAAAAAAATTCTTCCAAACATTTAAGGAATTAATAATACCAACTTAATATAAACATCTCTAGAAAATAAAAGGGAAGAGAAACACTTCCCAACTCATTTTTTGAGATCAGTATTATCCTGATGCCAAAATTAGCAGACATTACAAGAAAACTATACATCAATATCTCTCAAAACATGAATGTAAAAATTTCCAATAAAATATTACTGATCAAATCCAGCTCTCTCTCTATATATATAGATATATCTATATCTATATAGATATAGATTTTTTTTTTTTTTTTTGAGACGGAGTCTCGCTCCGTTGCCTAGGCTGGAGGGCAGTGGCGCAATCTTGGCTCACTGCAAGCTCCGCCTCCCGGGTTCACGCCATTCTCTCGCCTCAGCCTCCTGAGTAGCTGGGACTATGGGCGCCCACCACCAAGCCCGGCTAATTTTTTGTATTTTTTTTAGTAGAGACGAGGTTTCACTGTGTTAGCCAGGATGGTCTCCATCTCCTGACCTCGTCATCTGCCGCCTCGGTCTCCCAGAGTGTTGGGATTACAGGCGAGAGCCACCATGCCTGGTAATATATTAAAATGATAAAATCATAAATAAGTTGGGTTTATCCCAGGAACAAAAGGTTGGTTTAACATCTAAAAATCAATGTAATTCACTGTATCAACAGACTACATAAAAACAATTAGGTGGTGAACACCTATAATTCCAGCTACTCAGGCCTGGCAGAAGTAGGAGGATTGCTTAGGCCCAGGAGTTCAAGGGTACAGTGAGCAGTGATAACACTACTGCACTCCGGCCTGGGTGACAGAGCGAGACTCCCTCTCAGTTGAAAAGAAAAGAAAAGAAAAGAAAGAAAAAGCAAATGATCATCTCAATAGATGAAGAAATGCATTTGATAAAATTCAATGTCCATTCATAATTTTAAAAAGCAAACAAAAACACAACTAAGCAAACTAGGAATGAAAGTGAACTTTCTCAGCCTCCTATTAATAAAAGGGCTTCTGTGTTAGATATATATGGCAGCATAACAAATTACCCCAAAACATAACAGCAAACATATTTCAGTTTCTAGAGGTCAGGAACCCAGGTATGGCTTAGCTGGGTGCTCCTGGCTCAAGGTCTCTCACAAGATTGAACTTACATTGTCATCTGGGGCTATAATCTCATCTGAAAGCTCACTAGAGTTGGGGTGGCGGGGGAGATCCACTATCCTCAAAAGGCTACATACGGTCTGATTCCATTTTCATGACATTCTGGAAAAGGCAAAACTATAGAGACAGAAAACAGATCAGTGGTTGCCATTTGCAAACAATTTCTGTTCACAGACCACCTCTAGGCCATCCCTGTACTGGGTTTCCAGGGCAACCACCAGCCCTCCCTCCTCAGCTCCAGGCTCCTTTCTGAACCCTACCTGGGTTTACATTTAGTAGCATGCTGCTTGACACGGGATTGACTCCCGTTTCATAGACATTGTGTTAATTTTCTCTCCTCGGGTACTGCTTCCAGGGCAAATACCCGCATTGATGCTGGCACCGGGAACAGGGCGGATGACAAAGTGTGAGGCAGTCTGCCCAGTGGCAACTGACATGATTTCATGATTTCCACAGGTCCATCCGCTTCCTGCCAGTGTGTCAGATCAGAGCAGCAGGAGTCCGTCGGGAGAAGGAGGGGGGAAAGGAACCGAAAACAATTAAGGCAGGCTCTGTAAGCTTCCACCTCCCACACCAGAAGGGTCCCACAGCAGAAGACTACAGTGGAACCTTCCCTGCTGTAGGAGGAAAGTGCTGACTTTAACCAATTTCTGCGGTCACGCCTTCCTCTTCCTTCCTTTCTCCCTCTCATTCATTCACTGACGCCGCAGCACTGATCAGCACAGACACAGAAGCTGCCTCCAAGGGACCAAAGGGAATAACCGCGGTTCTGAGGTGTGGGGACGGCAGTTCCAAGGAAATGTGGACCGCTCAGGAGGGGCTCCTAGCGCAGGCGTCTTCCCCGCAGACGCGGTTACAGCTGCGCTTTGCACGGCCTGCGGAAGTTTGCAAATCCAGCAGGTCTGCTCTCCCGGCAGCAGGACGTGCAGGGACTCGGCCCGCGGTCAGGACAGCTCCCGTGGACTAAGGGCGGCCCCCCGGGGCCCTTCCCTGCAGCCGGGACGGCGGCCGGGCTGGGCCGGGCAGGGGGTGGGAAGCGGGGGCGCTGCGGCTCCGCCCAGGCCCACCCGGGGCGGGGGCCGGTTCCCATAGGGATCTCGGGCTGAGCCACGCCGAACCGAGCCGAGCCGGGGGAAAGAAGGCGAGGCGGGAGCCAGGCCGGGCCCAGACCGCCGCGGCGCGGTGAGTCCCAGGCGGGCTAGGAGCGCGGGCCGTGCCGGGTCAACACGTGGCACCGCTCCACCCTGCGCGGCGCGGCTGGGGGGCACGTCCGGGCGCGGGAGGGTTTTCCCGGTCCCGCGGACTAGGGGCGCGTGGTGGTCTCCTGCGGCCCAGCCTCGCCGCCGCCCCGGGGAGAGCCGGGAGGTGTCTTCTTGCCGCAGGGAAATGAGACCCGAAATTAGAACCGGGGAAGCCCTTAGCTCTCCCCGTGCTCCAGCCAGCTCAGGTGTCTTAGATCGGATGAACGATAACGTTAAAAAGATAGATTATCTTACAGCTCGGCTCGTTTTAGGATGGCAAGTTACATTTTAACTTACAGGGTATTTAACGGGCGATTAAAATTGGGTTATTGGAGGCAGCTAACTCTAGGCTGTTACTCCTGATCGCGTTGCCATTGCCGACACGGGTCCACGCTTCGTTCCTTAACATGCCCTGTTCTGTTCTAGGCCCGTGACGAGCACTCATCGTTGGGTGGGGCTCTAGTGCAGTCCGTTCGTGCCAATATTTTATAAGCGACGTTTTCAAACTATGTGAAGATCTGTTTTTTGTTTGTTTGTTTGTTTGTTTGACGGAGTCTAGCCCTGTCGCCCGGGCTGGAGTGTAGTGGTGCTGTCTCGGCTCACTGCAACCTCCGCCTCCCGGGTTCACGGGATTCTCCTGCCTCAGCCTCCTGAGTAGCTGGGATTACAGGCGCCCATCGCTACACCCGGCTAATTTTTTGTATCTTTAGTAGAGACGGGGTTTCACTATGTTGGCCAGACTCGTCTGGAACTCCTGACCTCAGGTGATCTGCCTGCCTCAGCCTCCCAAAGTGCTGGGATTACAGGCGTGAGCCACTACTCCCAGCTGAAGATCCATTTTAAGAAGATTTATTCCTCTATGATGGAGAAGTATGAAAAAATTGGGAAAATTGGAGAAGGATCCTATGGAGTTGTTTTCAAATGTAGAAACAGGGACACGGGTCAGATTGTGGCCATCAAGAAGTTTCTGGAATCAGAAGACGACCCTGTCATAAAGAAAATCGCCCTTCGGGAAATCCGAATGCTCAAGGTAATTGATTCACTTTTCCTTTTTTCTTTTTCCAGACAGGATCTCACTCTGTCACCCAGGCTGGAGTGCAGCGATGTGGTCATAGCTCACTGCAGCCTGGAACTCCTGGGCTCAAGCCATCCTTCTGCCTCAGCCTCCTGAGTAGCTGGGATTACAGGTTCTAGCCACTGCTCCAGGCTCCACTTTTTCTTTAAAGTGAATTTTTAGGGATGAAAGAAATAAAGTGAGTCATGTTATGTTAAAAGAATGTCATGGGACATGGTTACATCTTACTTCATAGCCTTTTGACTTCAGTGACACAAATGGGATATCTGTGCACAAGTCACTAATTATATAATGAACTAGAAAGCAGAAACAAAAGTGCCAGGTAAGGTGGCATTCACTTTTAGAGATGCTATGGTATATTTTATTTTTCTTCCCAATAGTTTCTCTCCTACCTGTAGACCTGGGTTTTCAAGGACCATCACAATTTGATAGTATAGGAATGTAAGACAATTCAATTTTGCCTAGCATTGTTGATTTTTAAACTTCTAAGGTATTTTCTATTGGTATACTCAGTCTTTTAAGAGAATTAATCATTTACCTGTTTTCAAACTGCCAGGAAGTTCACAGATCTCATTCCACCTCATATATATTTACTGCTGAGCATCATCATGTCTCATTTCTAAAAAGAAGTGTTCTTCTTAAAGAAGTGAAATGATCACTTTCTATTTTTTTTAATGTTTTGTAGAAATGGGATCTCGCTATGTTGGCCAGGCTGGTCTGGACCTCCTGGCCTCAAGCGATCCTCCCACCTTGGCCTCCTAAAGTGCTGGGATTACAGGCATGATCCATCGAGCCTGGCCTGATCACTTTTCAAATGTTTATTAGTTAACCCTAAAAATACCATGATATCGGAGGGGGGAAAGGTATTTATTACAAGCTAAAAGTGTGTTTGCCTCTAATGGAGAGACTTCTTTACAGAACTTCTGTGAAGGTGAAATCCAAATCCCAATGTGAAAGATGACATGTAATGAATACCATGGAGGTCAACTTTGTTTCAGTTATGGCCTCTGTGTTCTGACCTGTGTAACTAACTACATGACAAGGGAAGAGCAACATGGTGAGAGACAGATGAATGAAACTTCCAGGGGAGTTACTATTATTCTTGCTTCTGCAGTTTCTCCAGATCACTCTACAAATCTTTTACCCATGGATAAGTGTGTGGGGTCACTTCTAGATAAGGAACCTAGTAGCAAGCTTTGGACAAATTGAAATGGGTGGATAACAGGGTAACTTCTCTATTTAGGTTTGGAATGTTCTTAGCCAACAGGATATTATCTATTGAGAGGAGATGCTTCCAAAGCCCCTCAGGGGAGTGCTCCCATAGGCAGGGGTGAGACCTGCAGTGTTTGACCATCCCCCTGCCCGGGTCACTCTACCCTTACCCTCTCTGTACACAGGGAGAGGCTGTTAGGCATTTTCACTTCCTCAGGCTTTCCTAGGGGAGGAGGTGATTATTACATTTCAAAGGGTTCATTGACCTGAAAGAAAATCTGTTTCTTGCAGAAAGATACTTTTTCTGATTCTGAAGATTACTTCTGTGAATGCTCCTTTCAAATCTCTCACCACACTTTATCAATACTACATTAACAGTGATAGCTCCCCAAACTGAGTTCTTGCAGGATGGAGACCTTGCCTGTGAAGCTCTGTATCCCCAAAGCACACTAGTTGGCACATCTAGGCCTCCCAAAAATGTTATTGTTGGATTGAAAAAAAAAGTTAACAAAATAAGCTCTTAAAAAAGGTGGATGTTGCCAATAAATTGGGAAGTCAAATGTGTTCTCTGAACTGAATATTGATATCCTCCAAAGGACAGGGTTGTGTGCACATGAGCCTGATTTCAAAGCATGCAACACCCCGCTCTCCAGATTAAGTGCACAGACGTAGACACCCCCGATCTCTATGAAGTGGTGGGACTAGATTAGAGGTAGAGTCTGTTCTTTAAAGCTGTAACTTTTCAGAGTTGTGTGATATTCCTAACACATAATATGTACTAGACTGGGCATGGTGGTGCATGCCTGTGGTCCTAGCTACTTAGGAAGGAGGCCAAGGCAAGAGAATGGCTTAAGCCCAGCAGTTCAAGGCTGTGGTGAGCTATGATTAGGCCACTGTACTCTAGCCTGGGTGACAGAGTGAGACCCTCTCTGTTATAAAACAAAGATACTTAATAAATATTTGCTGAGTAGGTAAATTGAGGGTATGGTGAATGAACATTTTATTTTCTCCATTTATGGATTCAGTAAATACTCACAGAGTCCCAGTTGTGCCTACAATGATGTTTATGCAAAGTTGTACACCCTGTCTTTCAGCAGCTCAGCTCTTGGAAGGGAGGCAAGATGAGTTGCCCTTTGGCTCTCACTCCTTATAGACTGGGTTCCAGTGAGCAGGGCATGTGTACCCTTGTCTGGTAAGAACTCTTTAGGTGCTTGTTGAATGGTGAAAACAAAGTGACTGGGGGCATGTTTGAGCTGAACTTTGAAATGTTTAGGGAAACGTGGAATGAGAGATAAGGCATTCCAGGCAGACACTCTATCCTAGGAAAAGGTGCATAAGTGGAAAGCACTGTATATTGAGGGAACACAGGTAATAACGCCAGTGTCTTAGCCAAGATGCCCAGTGGGTGCTAACAGGCCAGGGAGAGAAGGAAGGGGGAAGCCAGGGTCCAGCAGGATCAGGTCATATTCTAGATTTCTTCTGAAAGAAGAGCACATAGGAATCTAATGATTGGATGAGAAATCAAGAACAATTTCAAGGTTGTTGACTGAGTGACTGGAAGAATGAAGAGATCGTTTGCTGTGATAGAGAGACCCAGGTGCAAAGTTGGTGGAAAGGAAATAAAGAGCTCTGTTTTGGACAGGTTAAGTTTGAATTGTGAACCCAAAGAGACTTGTAAAGTAGGCAGTTGACTACACAAGTCTGGCATTCAGAGGAAGTCCAGGTTGGAGACAGATAAAGTTGGGGGACATAAGCTTATCGATGGTATTTAAAGCTGTGGGACCGGAGGTGGTCACCATGTGGGATGGAGGGACAGGTACTGAAGGTGAAAGCTTGGTGTACCCAGCCCTTGGGGGTCAGGAAGATGCTAAGGAACCAGCAAGGGAGGCAAGAAGAGGCGATCTGCATGGTAGGAAACTCCATAGAACAATGTTCTTCCTTTAGTATCATTATTATTTCTTTTTTGGAGACAGTCTCGCTCTGCCACCCAGGCTGGAGTGCAGTGGCATAATCTCAGCTCACTGCAAACTCCGCCTCCCAGGTTCAAGAGATTCTTCTGCCTCAGCTTCCCAAGTAGCTGGGATGAGAGGTGCCTGCCACCACACCTGGCCACTTTTTGTATTTTTAGTAGAGATGGGGTTTCACCATGTTGGTCAGGCTGGTCTCGAACTCCTGACCTCAAATGATCCACCTACCTTGGCCTCCAAAAGTGCTAGAATTATGGGTGTGAACCACTGCGCCTGGCCACAGTGTTCTTAAAAGCTTAGTGAAGAAGATAGTTCAAAAGTGAGGGAATGCTCTGTGGTGTCAAAGGTCTCCATTAGTAGTAGATTTAGGATTAGCCATTGGCTTTGATCATGTGAGGGTCTTTGGTGACCTTGACAAGAGCTGTGTGAGTGGAGAGGCAGGAATGAAACCTTCATCAGCAGAGGTTTAAGAGAGACGAGAGGAACGAAGTGGAGATAGTGATATGGGCAACTGTTTTGAAGAGTTTTATTATAAAAGGAAGACAAAAATGGGGGAGAGGTGTTTGTAAAGATGTGGACTGAAGAGAGGTTTTTTTGTGGTTGCTGTTTTTAACTACAAGTGAGAAGTACATTTGTAAGCTAAAGTTGTAAATAAATCCAGTAGAGAAAAAACTTGATGTTGGATTACTGGACCCATGACCTTGAGTTACTAACCTGAACCATACCAAACATAAATATCATTGCATAAAAAAAAACAATTTAGGCCGGGCACGGTGGTTCACGCCTGTAATCCTAGCACTTTGGGAGGCCGAGACGGGCAGATCACCTGAGGTCCGGAGCTTGACGCCAACATGGCCAACATGGTGAGACCCCATCTGTATTAAAAACACAAAAACTAGCCAGGCGTGGTGCCAGGCACCTGTAATCCCAGCTACTCGGGAGTCTGAGACAGGAGAATCGCTTGAACCTGGGAGGCAGAGGCTCCAGTGAACCGAGATCGTGCCCTTGTGCTCCAGCCTGGGTGACTGAGTGAGACTGCTAGATTCTTTACATATACTCTCCCTAATCTTTCTGTAACAGGATCCACAGCTGGCTCCAAGCTATGGGGTGGAACTTGTTCCACCAGGGTATTCACAGTCTTCTGATTTGCATATGATACATGGACCCTACATGAAGTCAACTCCTTTCCATAACTCAGGTTTAAATATATTAAGGATTTATTGGATGAGAGGTAGGGTGGTCATAACAGAAGTCAGATTGCAGAGAGAGACAATGTAACTGAAAGAAAATCACCTTACATCAAGAAGTCAGGAGCTGGGTGTGGTGGCTCATGCCAGTAATTCCAGTATTTTGGGAGGCCAATGTGCAGTTCTCTTGAGCCCAGGAGTTCAAGACCAGAGGGGGCAATGTGGTGAAACCCCATCTCTACAAAAAATAGAAAAATTAGCTGGGCGTGGTGGCATGCACCCATAGTCCCAGCTACTCAGGAAGCTGAGGTGGGAGGATCACCTGAGTTCTGGGAGTCAAGGCTGCAGTGAGCCGTGATTTGTGCAGCTACACTCCAGCCTGGGCAACAGAGTAAGACACTGTCTCAAAAAAAAAAAAAAAAAAAAAATCAAGAAGTCAGGCATGATGGGCTAGAGCATCACAGGCCCTGTGGTGGAAAGTGGGCAGTGGTTCTGCATAAAGCAGGCTGATGCGCTTGAACTCCACGCAGCCTCTTAGGGGAATATCTGTGTGTCCGGCAAGGAGCACGGAAAGGGCTATGTGTTTCAA